TGATTAGATTCATCTTGCTCTCTTATCAAGCTTCCTTTCTTTTCACCGATCCTGCAAAACATTCAAATGCAATCTTATCACATCATAAGAATCAATGAATAGGAACTTAACGGAGTTAGATAGTGGATTTTACCTGAAGCGCAGTCATACTCTTTGACTCTCTCATCTTTGGAATTTTCAAACTCTTGGGGCAGACTTCTATCCAACACCCTTTCTCTTGGCAGCAAGCGCAGGTCGGTTCTCCTAGAACATCCTCGGAAGCATGGTCGGTTAACTTTCCCAACAAGTATGCTCCATTGCTTCGCCAAATCATTTCTGATTCAGCAGCAATGAGCATGTATATTACGTCAATGAGGTTGTCGTCATGATCCATCATATAATACTTTCTTTTGAACTCATTATATGATTCAGGAAGTGACTGCAGAACCCAGTTCACAGCCAACTTATCCGAGAATTACACACCCAACATTATCAACCTATCGATGTGTGATTTCATTCCTAGAACGCGGGCACACACGGGCTTACCATCTTCATGTGGAATGCTTGTTCCACGGGATTTGGGAAGACCATAGTTGTCGAACTTTGACATCTATAAAACGGGAGAAAAGAAATTCAAGTTAGTTGATCGATTGAGTCCTTAGTAAATCACCCAAATGAGATACCAAGGCTAGGACCCAACACAATATGCTACAACCTAGAAAAGGGATGCCGTAATCTAGTTGCAGAATATTTGAAGGTAAGTGAATGACGATTCACTAATTTCCACCATGAAAAATGAAAAAGAAATTTAAGTTTTAATTCTATGAAAACTCCTAGATCCTTTGAGATTCATTGAACTTTCAATGGCATGTTTAAATCTCGATATGCCCCTCTAGTTTGTGACTGGGATGCCGAGGATCACAAAGCGGGTGTGAATAACCATGCAAACTACATGGTGCCCTCACATGTTACAGTCACCTATTCGATGTGCCGGTAAACCACACACGCTCCACCGAACTATGACAAACATTGAGTCACCCTTTGCAACCTTTGCTTAGAACCATTTAGTGTGCCGGTAAACCACACACGCTCCACTAACGTCTTCGCAAGGGCACAAAGTGTAATTTCATGGAATTGCATCAATTCACTTTGCCAAAGTAAGTAATATTGGGAATTAGAAAAACATTTAGTTACTTTGTATTTCATTATACTTATAATGGAAGGTTTCGTCCTATCCTACCCGTTCGGCTAACGACCCTCCACTAGTCAAGAGTGCGGTGGGTAAGAGTGGATACCCATTCAATCGCCATTTTATAGGCAATTTCCTTAAACACCCCTTATAGACCAGCTTCGTGAATGAGGCCTACTAACGGTAAGACTTTCTTTTACTCATACATATATATATATATATATATATATATATATATATATATATATATATATATATATATATATATATATAATGTTAGACTTTTAATGTTATATATATAGTATAGGGTGTATTTTATACTTTTAAAATACTATGAGGTTAACTTTAACAATTACACTTTTAATTCAATTAAATGGTTAACCTAAACTTTTATGGATTTAATAAATCTCTTTTTATTATACACCTTAATTAATTAAAGAAACCATAAGGGTGTAAATTGAACTTTTCAAAACATTACTAGGGTTTTAGAATTTAACATTCCTAATTAAACTCTTAATCAACTTTTAAATTCCAAAACTTGAGGGCAAGTTTTGAAACCTTTTTCAAAACATTAGGGTTTTAACTATTTAAATTTCAAAACTTCAAAACTTTTGGGTTCAAATTTAAACTATAAAACCTAAAGGGGAAAATATGAAACTTTTCATAACAACAAGGATCAAATAACAAATAATTTTAAATTAACATTTAATCACATAATTATCCATATTTGATTTATTTAATGATTTCTTGCAAAACAATTTATCAATTTACTCAAAATAATTAATCAATTATCTTATAAGGAAACAATTATCTTATTAATTGATAAATATCTTCATTTAGATCAAAAATATAGTTAAATATATCATATAATCGGATTAATCTTGATCTAACATGATAAGGTAACTATCCATATGCAAAAACAGCAAGAAATCCCGAGATAAGCACTATCTGACGAGTTGACTCGTCGAGTCAAGCCTGGACTCGTCGAGTCACCCTGGACTCGGCGAGTTCAGCTATGGACTCGGCGAGTCCAGCCTCTACAACACCAACAAATCGATTTTTTTAGATATACAATGCATCAATACAATTGAAACCATCCTAGGCTCTGATACCACTGATGGGTTTTGGTCATAAAACATCCTATGTGCTCATACAAACCCTAATGCTTGGATCTAGGTTTCTCTATTGTACATGCTTTGAATCCAAGACATCAAACCCTAATTCTAGTATATGAAATCGATATTAACATATGAATGGGTTTAAGAACATACCTTGATTGTTATATAGCAATAACAATCCCAATTCCTCCTTGAATTGACTTTGGAATGCTTAGAGTCACAAGTGTCACTCCTCTAATGGATTACAAACACCAAGAGCAAATGGAGAAGGTATAAAGAGAGAGGAAAGAGGTTAGAATTCGTCCTTAGGACTTCTTGGGAAGGCTTAGACGAATTCATGAGCCTTAGGGTCTTTATATAGGTGTAGAGATAGGGTTTCAGTCATTATCCTTATCTAGTTGCTTATCCACAAAGCAACCCATAAGATAATCCTTGAATCCTTATCATAGTCGAATTCTAAGGCCTTATCACCTCAAATTCGTTCACCCTATATTTAAGATAATCCTTACCTTATTTTGTAACTATCACATAATTACAAATCAGCCCCTCTAGTTTAATTAATTACACTTGATCACAAAATTAATTCCTAATTAATTATTGACCAATATTAATTAAACAAATATGATTTCTCCTTTAATATATTATTCTTATAACATATTAATAAATCATAATAACCTTTCTCTCTTTATTTATTTCTCTAATCAAGTTGCTTTGGTGAAGGTAACCCAAAAGGACCATGCACCATCGGGTCAAGTACATACCAAAATAGTTATGGACTTAGACACTAATCCAACAGATGGAGATGGTGATGGTGATGATGATGCTGATGATGGTGGTGATGGTGATGGTGATGGTATTGGTGATGGTGATGGTGATGGTAATGATGATGATGGTGGTGATGATGATGATGATGATGGTGATGATGATGATGATGATGATAGTGATGATGTGGTGATGGTGATGGTGATGGTGATGGTGATGCTGGTGATTGTGATTGTGATGGTGATGGTGGTGATTGTGATGGTGATGGTGATGGTGATGGTGATGGTGATGGTGATGGTGATGGTGATGGTGATAGTGATGGTGATGGTGATGGTGATGGTGATGGTGATGGTGATGGTGATGGTGATGGTGATGGTGATGGTGATGATGATGATGATGGTGATGATGATGGTGATGGTGATGATGATGATGATTATGATGGTGATGGTGATGATGATGATGATAGCGATAATGATGGTGATGATGATGATGATGGTGATGGTCATGGTGATAGAGATGGTGATGGTGATGGTGATGGTGATGGTGATGGTGATGGTGATGGTGACGGTGATGGTGTTGGTGTTGGTGATGGTGATGGCGATGGTGATGATGGTGATGATGGTGGTGATGGTGATGGTGATGATGGTGATGGTGATGATGATGGTGATGATGGAGATGATGGTGTTGGTGGTGATGGTGGTGGTGATGGTGATGATGGTGATGATGATGTTGATGATGCTGAGGATGGTGATGATGATGTTGATGGTGATGATGATGGTGGTGGTGATGACGATTATGACGATGATGATGGTAATGATGGTGATGTTGATGTTGATGTTGATGGTGATGATGGTGATGATATTAATAGTTGTAAGTTGGTGAAAATAAAGATAATAATGTATAGTAGAGGTGTGAAAAAAACGGAGTGAAAAAAACGACGTATGGTGCCCGAAATAATCAAAAATAAGAAAAATCTGTAGTTAATCTGTAGCTAGGGATTTCTACAGATTTTTCTTATTTTTGATTTTTCGCGCACCAATCTTCGTTTTTTCGCTCTGTTTTTTTCACATCTCTATTATACATGATTATCTATAATTTCACCAACTTTTTGCTATTAGTATCAATCATAAAGTTGTGTGTACATACGAGATCCATTACTCGTTTGGTGGTTTAACACTATAATGCTTATGAATATGTTCACATGCATCTCACAAACACATATACATACACATATACTCGTACACATATACCATAACTCACTCATGTATATAAATATACATATACAAACATAATCCATTAAAAGTTGGTGAAAAGTATATGCATTACAATGTTAAACTGTGAAAAGAGTACTTGATCTCGAAGGGGCACACAACTTTATGAATGATATTAATAGCTACAAACACTACCAGAAAAACAGCCTTTTACGACGCTCATTGCGCGTCGTAAAAATGCTCAGACAACGCGCAAATGCGCGTCAAGGAAGGCCCTGTCATAAAGAGAGACGACGCGCATTTACGATACCCATTTGCGACGCACAATGCGTATCAAGGAAGACCCTGTCATAAAGGAAGACGACACGCATTTGCGTGTCGTAACCTTACGACGCGCATGTTTATGACACGCATTGCGTATCAAGGAAGCACCTGTCAAGAAAGGCCATGTCATAAATGAAGATGACAGACATTTTGCGTATCGTAATTTTATATGTTTAAAAAAAATTATTTATAGATTTATTAATTTTCAAATTAAATTTTCATTTAATGTCTCTTACTAAATAAAATATCATATACAAAAATACAATCCATTGCACAAAATATAATGTCATACAAATAATCGTTCCATGGAAAGATAAAACAAATCAATAAAAGTTGTAACGGAAATTTACAAACTACTTAGATACAAGAAATATGAAAAACTTGAAATCTCTAAGATTAATAATTCTAACAGAAGCTTCACGTGAGATACATACAGTTGGACCAGTAAGCAAGGATGTTCCCGAATCCACAATAGCAGCATAAGAACACGTACACGATATCTTTTGCAAGAAGGTGCTGGTCCAAAACTACTGTTGAAGGTTGCCATGATAGCTGTTAAGATTTACGCATAACAAGAAACCAATCAGTGACTATAATAAGCTAGAAAACAAGCAACTAATAAACAAAATAAGCAACTAATTAAGTCAAACTATGATTATGTATTGTTCATACAAGAAAAAGAAGGAAAAAATGTTGATTTATTGTTGTTCATACAACACTCTCCAGACAACACTTAATTGAAGAAAAGAATAAGGTTAAACTTACAAAGAAAAAGAATTCAGGAAGAAGACAAGTTTGAAAGCATACAGAATAACGTTTAGCCAAGCAAGTGTGATCTACCTGTAAAGTTGAAAACGCAAAATTCTGAGTAAATGACCTAAATACCCTCATAATCGTAAATCATAATAACAAGTAACAGACCTTGTAGGAGGCAATGCAGAGGTCTGGCCAGATGGTTTTACCTGGCAAAAATGTTGGAGCACCAGGGAAATTCTGATCACATGGATCCCAATAACCACCATCTTATCATTCAACCAAGCTAAGAGAAAGCTATCAACCCCTACCATATATATATATATATATATATATATATATATATATATATATATATATATATATATATATATATATATATATATATATATATTAAAAATTAATTGAAAAACTTGTAGTGTTTCTGTTTCATCATGTATTAAAATAGCATGAACGGTTATACCTCTCCATCAGGTAAAAAGCACAAAACAAAAATTGTTGTATTCCCATGCATATAATATTAACCAACAACTATAACACACGCATATAGTATTACAAATTACAACATTACCCCTTTCAAAAGCGAATGTGCTTCACTTGACAAGAATCCTGGAAGCTTTATCTTGTCCTTCACTATCTTCTCCTTAATCTTCTGTTTGTTTCCACCTCTAAACGAAGGGTGCAAAGATACAATGTCGAACAAAATTACATTATTACCCTCACGCTAAAAGTATGGGGAATTTAATAGTGATTTATTAAAAGTAATTAAGGGTAACAGCACACCAACCTTTCCAGTAAGCATTTCATACATTAAAATTCCAACACTCCACCAATCAGTGGCCTTATCATGGCCCCTCCGTTGTACAATTTCAGGTGTCATATATTCTAATGTCCCACACCTGGAATTTAACCTTGTGCTTTCATCAAATTGCTTTGCTACCCCAAAGTCAGTCAACATAACCTGAATAATAATAATTCAGTAAAGTTAAACCAAAACATTTTACCACAATAATAAACATCATCGTTTTAATGACAACTACCAACCTGGATGGTTAATACAAGTACAAAGTCAATAGCCATTGCTTCATGGTGAATGTTGTTTAATGTCTCACCCGATGCCTCCCATGTTGAGGAGTTTGCTTTCACTTGACTGCTAGGAACAACAGGGGGAAGAACACGAATAATCGTCAACATAATACAATCCTTGGTTGTATCATGCTAAACAGTAGCAGAACAGTAACTTGTAGAAGACAATGTAAAAGAAGCAATTGCAGAAAAAACATTGATCTGATAGTATGTAATTAGACTAAAGATTATGAGAAGATAATAAAGTAAACCTTGAGTTGCTGGATTTGGGATCTTAGTTGACTTCTTTCAATGCTGGTCAACGAACATCAAAGCACCGGTTTTTTAACTCCACATGCGCTCCCCAATTCTTCTTTTGAGAAACATACCTTATATTTATTAAGGAATGGAATATGGGAAATCATTTCAAAATCTTCAGTGTCTGCAACCATCACTACAAATTCAGAAAACCCCTATTCAGGTCCCTTGTAACTGTTTAATATATATATATATATATATATATATATATATATATATATATATATATATATATATATATATAAGTTAGAACCAACATTAAGAACAAAATATCAAAAATAAATATCAAAACAAGTCAGAATAATATTCACGAAGTTGATAAACTTTGGTTAAGAAAAAGAACAAGAAACATAGCCAATTTAGTTAGCTTTAGCCAAGAAACAAAATACTCATAAATTTATAATCGTTAGCATATAATAGTTGATACTCCTAAGTCCTATCAAGTATCAATTAGGTTAAAAATTCCCAAATCCATGTATCTCTTAATTTCATCGTCAAAATGAAGATATCCATGTGATTAGAATAACTAATTAGGTCACAATATTTGAGCACCGATAAATTCATCCTTCCCAGAAGGAAGTCTAGAGAATTAATAAGTTTAGTTCGAATACAATTCGTTTCCATAATTAGATTTTCTTATATGTGCCCTAGGGCACATATTAGAAAATCCCTTAATGCCCTTGAATCTAGAAGCCCCATAATGCCCTTGAAAGCTGTTAAGGGTCTCACCTTCTCAGTTCAAAATGTTGTATGACTGGAACTGGAGCAATCTTGGAGAACAGAAAACTATGGTGACTAATACCAGCAATACAAAGAGATTCTAAAAACTTTATGTGAGCTTCAAGAGATGAATCTCTAAGATAACAAATATCAATAAAATGGTTAATTTAACTTTAACTGAAAGCCAGGTATCATGTTTATCTAATAATGAGATGATCATAAGTAACTAATTAGAATTTGTTTCTTTTTTACTTAATGGACTTAGTGGGGACAAGACTTTATTTGGTTAGCTATATATGCATGTTTCTTTTTGACTTAATTTAGAAAGAGGGATCTAATAGGGAAAGTAAGGAAAATTAGGCTTTCCCTATTAAGTCCAAAAAAAATTTAAATTATGCCCTCATTTATTTTTTACTTCCATTTCTCCAAGTATGCCATCATTTTTTCTGTTCAACATTAGGCATTGAAACAAACCTATCAAGGATTATGCAACTCTGGGAAAAGATAAGAACTTTATGGCCTTCCGGAATAAGATTACCATGTAATTGAATAAAAACATCACATTGTACATCTGTACCTGATGTTATGAAACACACATTCAATTGATTAAGATTTTCACTGATGTTATGAAAAATCTACATTTGTACCTGATGTTATGAAAAATCACATTGTACATTTGGATGTCCTAGAAGCAAAAGTTTTCACTTTATGCAAAACCATGAACTATATAACAGTGTATGGCATGACCAAGAGAAACTTTATGCTGCAAATCCTTCAAGGATGGTTGGCAAAAATCATCTTTCATCTCATTATTAGACCAACTTCCAGCAGCAGCAGCTGGCAAGGAGCTCATTGATTTCTTCTAATAATGGCCATTGGAGTGAAGGTGAGAATGAAAATAATGATATCAGACTACTATGACAAGGGGTATGATTGTCATTTTCTAACACAACATACCATTTTCTGTTTTCACCTGGAATTAATTTTCACAAAATAAAAAAAAAAATAAAAAAAACATAGGTTTTCTCAAGTATCAACTATAAAAAATAAAAACCAATTTCCACTAATCTCGATTGATGTTACTGCTATTCAGAAAAATAAAATCAGAAATTAGAAGAGAAAGAATGACGGTAAGCTTTCATTAGAAATTGAACAATTGTATTCAAACATTTCAAGAAACATCTAACAAGCATGTTAAAGAATCATGTTTTGATAGTCAAATTGATTCACAACTCCATTGTTAATAGATTTAGTTTTCATATGGAAAACAGATCAGCAATTGATAATAGAACAACAATGAAGAACCATAAGGTCCCAATTCAACAATCGATATTATCAAATACACTCACAATCAAGTACAACATCAAGAAAAATCTTACCATACTAGTTACCAATTCGAATATAAAACTGATCTGGAACATCGGATTGGAAGCGATTGGGACAAAATTAGCGATCAATACGAACTGAAAAACAAATTTAGCGAATCACTTTGTTCTTCCAAACATGAATATTACCGAAATAGGCTCGATTTCAAAATCGATATTATGGCTCGCTTTTAAAATCGATTTCATTAATTTTATATAAGAAGGGTACAGATGATCTAATTTTATATAAGAACTCTAGAACTGATACGTACCTTTCTCTTTGATAATTTCTTTTAAGATAACTATTGTTTAGGGCTATCAACAACACCGTCATCTTCGCTACTATAGTGTAATAAACAAAGCACCATTGAAGGCCCTTCATCATCTTCCGCTGCCATTACTTCCTTGAGTGAAAATTTCGAACTCGACGGGAGAGGAAATGAGTCGCCAATAAGAAATCTAAAATCATAAAATCAGATGGGAAGAAATCTGTGAAAAGAGTTGAAGTTGTTTGAGATACCGATGTAAATCCTTAGAAATCCCAATCGAGAAGAGAATGGAGAGCCGCTTCTTTTTTTGGCGCTGAATCGTTTCACCACCGGTCGATCACCACAAAAACAGGAGAAGTGGAAGCTTAAAATAAAATATAACCCTACACATATTTCTACTCTTCAATCGTCGAATCTAGGGCAGAAGTAGATGGACGATGGGAAGTAGAGCAGATGTGAACATAATCCCCAATCGCTAGTAGGCTCTGGAATCGTTAGCTTGTGAAAATTTTGTGAGGCAGTGGATGTGGGTGAGAGGTAGAGACGATGTAGGGTAGATATGAGAGTCATATGGAAATGAATGTAGGAGAAGAAGGCGGGTGTTTAAAAAATTTAGGGATTTCATTTTCCCTCTTAGAGACGCGCGTTTCTTAAAAAAAATATAAAACGACATTCACAGAGGATGCACGAGTGCCCTCCGTGTTTTTAATTTTTTACATGAGACACTATTTAAGGGCACGCAATAATGTGTGACCTAAATCCTTAAATTTTTTGAATAGACGACACTCTTTTAATGTCACTCTCCTTTGCGTAACATAAATCACTGAGTGTCGTGGTTTGCACGTCGTAAAAGGGTCTTTTTCTTGTAGTGAAATTGGTGAAAATAAAGATAATCATATATAGTAGAGGTGTGAAAAAAACAAAGCGAAAAAAACGGCGTTTGGTGCTTGAAAAATTGAAAATAAGAAAAATCTGTTGCTAATCCATAGCTACTTAGCTACAGATTAGCTATAGAATTCTAATGGAAAGCATACTCCATAGCTAATTCGTAGATAATTAGTATCCGTAGGTATTCCGTAGCCATTTCGTAGCTAACTAGCTATGGATTTACATATGTAGCTATTTCGTAGCTAATTAGCTACAGAATAGCTACGGACTCGCATTCGTAGCTATTCCGTTACTAAACTACGGCATCCCATTTTGTAGCTAATCCGTAGTGATTCCGTAGCTAATTAGCTACGGAAAATTCTCGTAGCTATTTTCCGTAGGAAAATGCCATGTTTTCTAGTAGTGGAAATTTTTGTTAGAAATTTAGAGTTTGTGGTGGAGATTTGGATACCAACTTAGATTGTGAAAATACTTTCCGAACTGATATTTCTATCCTATGCATGGGTTGCAAGAAATTCAATATAAGATAATTCAAGTGGACACTTACGATACTAGACACAGAAATCGTATATAAGCCAAATTGCTAGTAAGATTCTGTGAAAGTTTGAAGAAAACAAGAGCTAAATTTTGTGTCCTTTTTCTGAGAAGGAAGAACCGTTTATATAATAAACGAGATTAGGGTTTCATTAGGGTTTGGAGGTTATGAGTTGCTTTGGAAACAAGTTAGGGTAATCTAGATTTTAATTAGGATTTAGGGTTACCAAAATAACGAGTTTCGTTAGTTTTACCATAATCATCCTCAAGAATGCATTTGGAAGCAAACGGGACCCCAACCAGGCTGCCCCTTGGACCCCACTAGGGACGCTACCCCTTTGGAAATCTCGGACCTAGGGGCGCTGCCCCCGGACCCCGACTTGTGGTTGAACCGGCTATTAACTTGATATTATACATGCGTGCACCCCACACAAACTTAGACATATATTAAAATACAAATTATAAAGTCATTTAGTCTACATGTTAATTCTGATTATATAAAATGACATGATAACACTAAAATCACAAACAATTTTTTTAAAAAGATTTCCAATAGAAATATCTGTTGTAGATTGCTGCCATATGGGTTTAGTAACACATTTATAGCAAATACTTTTTAGTGACAAGATTCCTAATAGAGTATTCAATGATCCATTTTTTGACAAAATTATATAGTGAAACATTTTCCGATGGACGTTTTCTAGTGACAGCTCGCCGGCAGAATTTATATTTTAGTTATGGAGTTATGTCATAATTATATTAGGTAAAATGAAAGTTAAATTAGTAAAGTACATTACAACCCAAAGTTCTTCTGTATTGCATACATAAAAGTCTTGTACAACAAACACGAGATCCAATTTAATACTAGTTTAGTAGTTTATACCATAAATGATAAACTTAAATTCAATATTCTTGGGATTTTACTATGTTAGGATATCCAACATTCTAATGTTAGTATATCTAACATTCTTGCAATGCCGTCTTATAAATGTCTATTATATACTATTTAGTTTTGTTGTATTTTTCAATATTTGGG